ATAAAGGGTTAGTAATGAAACCCTGCATGAAATATACCATAAMGATTTTCATTTTGTGTGTAAGAGTATTTTGGTACCAATATTTTATTACCAATATAACCAGAATACCAGGAAACCAATGAGAACGCTGGGGTGGTCATGACAAGGGGGCGGCATGACCGGTTACTTATTAYTTTATAATAATAATATAATAATAATAATGACTTTATTTAAAGAGGATACACTCAATTGAAGAATCGTTGTCGGGTTCAGAAACATAGAACATAGAAGCTGAGACCGAAATTGCACATGGGAAGTACGTTAATTAGATGCATGCTGTGACTGGCGACCCATGGCATCATCCACTCTCAAACGCATGTCTTCTGAATACTCGTTTGGCATTCTAAACCGACTGCATGGATGGAGCAAATGAATAAGTTATRATATAATTATGTCATTTCCCATGTGCCATTTCAGTCTCAGCTTTAATGTTCTATGTTTCTGAACCAGACAACGATTCTTCATTTGAGTGTATACACTTAATAGTGTAAATACRCTAACAAACTTGTGGTCCTTAATTGCAGGAGAAGTCAGATTCTGAAAACGAACAAGAAGGAATAGTCGAACTAAATAAACACGGTAGGGTTTTAGTTTCTGTCCTTTGAAAGAGTTAATTTTGGATTTCAAGCTAGTTTACTTATCTAGTTTTGTGACATTTGTTTTAATACTGCATCCTACCTTCTCATCTTGTGTCATTTCCCATTTTATCTTTCATTTTTCTATTCCCATTTCATGCTTCTTGCCGTCCAAGTTCTTTTTCATAATTTTGACCTCCTATTTGGTTTTCAWACATTGATTCATTTTGTCGTCGCATTCCAACGATCCAACTTCATTCATATCACTTACCATTCCATCCCATGCATTCATTTCCCCTTTTCCTGCTTCATTTTAGTTTTTATCAATTGAAGACTCATTGAAGTCCGAAATTTGTTTTTCGAAATAGAACCAGAAGAAGAAGAGCCATTTGAAGAAACAAGCTATGTAGAAGAGAAGGGAGAAGAATATCTAGGACAGGTATGGCTAGGGATGTAGTATAGGCCTTTTGATTCAACTATGAGTATGGGATCGAATACGAGAACGAGTTTTAAAATTGAATCTGTGCGCGTGGTTAACACTAAATCGTAGTCGATTTACGATTTTTTACAATCTAAAGTTTCATTCTACGTACACGGTCATGACTACAAAAAGATAGTGACTATATTTAAAAGTTAAAAACTTGTACTTGTACTCATTCTCGTACTCGTTGTTCGATCTAAAGCTCTCTAATAGAGGCCTTTAGCACGATGTTCTTATCTCAAACCTTTGCAATACAACCTGAGATATCTAAGCCACAGGAGTACACAGCTTCTGGAAAGATCATTTTTATATTCTAAGCTGTATTCAATTACTTATTCGCTATCTATTTTCTGCTGCTAATACAGCATTATTATTCTTGTATCGTCACTTTATACTTATCATTTATCTAATCCCATGTGAAGGGTGGTATTAGTGTTAGGGTTAGACGCAGTTGCATTAGACGCAGTTTAGGGCAATTTTGATATCGCTGATCAGAATCTGCTCTGAGTTATTGCTCATAAATAACTACACTAAATCTGTTAATACGTGTATGTAATGCTTTAATTAATAGGAAGGTGAAGCCGTCGAGGAAATAGAAGATGACAATAAGAGCATTATATGGGCCTTGCTTAAACAGGTAAGATTATAGACAGACAGACAGACAGACA